GAATAGAGCAGTGTTTCTCAACCTTCGCAACTTTTAAGATGTGTGGACTTCAACTCCCAGAATTCCCCAGCCAGCAAGGGGGAACCATCTTAAAGTTGCAAGATTGAGAAACACTGAGCTAGAAGTTTGCTTTCCTCATAGGCTGCGTGGTTCATGGGGTCACGAAGAGTCGGACATGACTTAACGACTGAACAACAACAACAAGAGGGAGGAGATATGCTCTTGTGTATCCACAGAGCAATCAATTTTGTGTAAACTGGTCAATTTGATGACGTGCAGTAAACTGGTAATCTGGAAGACCTCTATACTACAATTGATCCTGGATATTAGTACTACTAAAGCCTGTTATGTGTAAGGGGAAACTCTTCCTATTATTATTATAAGCTAAAAGATATATTTAGAATATAAGGAGGGAAGACTGATATTACTTCTCCAGTTTAAGCCCTGTCATTTTGAGGGACCTGCAGGGAGTACTGCTTAGTGGGTTCCATTCTTTTAATTATAATGCAGCTGCAATGTCAACCTTGTTTCTCCTGTGGGAAATCTGCTTAATTTCAACATGTTTATGTGGTGACAAACATACATAAATTATCTCAGTTTGCTGAAATTAATGCATTAGTCAAGGTTGAAATCATCAGTCAGGTTTGAAATCTTTGTTCAGTAAGTTGAAATGTTGATGTTACTTTTTGAATGTCTGTGATAGAGGAAGCTAGCTTCAAGTCTTAATTTGCCCGACGTTGTTCAAAAGAATTACTCCTCTTTTCCTGAACACACACCTTCTGAACAACCTCTTTGACCCCTCTTGGCAATATAACTATTTCTAGGCCATCTCAACATTTCTTTTTTTGCATCAGCTGTTAGAACTTTCTGAACTTTTGCCAGCTTTTAACTTTCTGTAACTTCTTTCAATTACCGATAAAGGTTTGAAACACAAATACTTTAGCTTTTATGTGCACAATTAGTGCAGATCTGATATTGTTGATTTCTTAGCCATGGATAAATTATCAGAAGCCACAGTGGAGGGTTGTTGATCTGGTTCTCTTTTCTTCTGTTGTTAAATTTGGTGTTAGCATGATATGTACAATCAGCATTTGATACCAGGTTTTTAGTAGATGCACTAAAGTTAGTTATAGTGCTATAGATATTAACTGTGAAAGCTGTGAGGAAAAGGCTGTTTTAAAAAAAAACACCCTGAAATTCAACTACTTCTTCTATTGGCAAAAGTCCTATCTGCCTGGGGAAGATGGCAGAAGGAAATTATGCTTCCTTAAAACTCCCTCCATTCCCCAGTTGTGCTCTCTCAATCAAGAGAGTCAATGGCATAAATTTGGAGGGGGGAAGGACATGAAGTTTCCAATTCATAGACCGATTTTTATATAAGTATTTCCAGATCATCTGTCAAGGTAAACAGTCTTTCAATTTAGCTTTTACCACAAATGAGACAATGCTATTCCATAGATACTAGTTTCCAGATGATGTGCCTGTAACCTGTAGCTTCAGGATATAAACTTTGTTCAAGCAAAATTAAATACTGTAGAGAAAGCAAACGTTACCTTATTTAGCCGGAAACATAAAAGTTTAAAAGAGAAACCATAAATTTTATAGTGAAGAGCAAGTATATTTTTAGAGCAGACTTCAGGCTTGACAGATTTACCACATTAAACTAAACCTATAATCAGGACATCAAAAGATCAGTGCTTGGTCAGAGTAAAGGCCAGTCTAGCTTGGTACAGTAGTTGGTTTCTACAGTGGCTGCCCCAATATCTCTGGGACGCCCCAAAGTAGAATACGAATGCGGTAGAATGCTCATGTTCCCTGGTTGTGTTAAGAAGCACACAAGTAGTCTTGTCTCCCATGAAATTTCCCTTGGCTACTTAAAGCTGGTTTAGACAGAAATGGTATTGCTGTCACTAGCAGCATTTCTGATTAACAAGATTAACTTTATAATATTGAATTCTGCCACCTACAAGAAGCGCTAAATAGTCCAGTACTGTAAGTTCTTTTTGTGGGTCGTTTACATGCGACACATTTTGCATGAGCAAAGTCTTATTCATAAAACATTTCCCTCTTTCAAAAATAAGTTATTTTAATAAGTTTTTTTTACTGTTTCTTGGTATTTCAGTATTTTCCAACAATAACAACAACAAAAACGTTCTTGTAGGACAGTGAGAAAGCCCCCAACTTTGGTTTTCAGTTTCTTCCTGGGTTTCATGTCTTCATTGAATAGATATAAACTGAATAAACCATGTTAAGACTCCCCCCCTCCACCTGCAAGTGAAGAATTTGGACAGTACCTAGAATAGGTAGAAGGGGTATCATGCAGATGCTCTCAGTTTCTTAATCCTGGATGAAAGAATATCTGTCCTTTACAGCTATCTGTAATAGGCTTTTGACAATTTGGGCATACAATAACCTTTGTAAAAAAAAGTAAATCTTTTAATATTAATTGTAGCCCAATATGCTGATAAGAGAGTCACTGACTTTTTAATTAATAATCCACCATGTACATCTAAACCTCAAGTAGTAGGGGATCTAGTGTTATAAACAACTTCTTTCAGTGCCAGAATCATTCCCTCACCCTTGACATGTTTTAGAGAAGCAAAAGTTTGGACCAGAGTTCACCATAATCACTTGACAGATTTCTCTGAAAGCAGCCAAGACCCATTGCATGCTGCATGCTTTTCTATATTTGGCTTTGTTTAATTTGACGATAGAATGCCATGCTGTTGAGAATTGTGGCTGCTGCTCCTCTCTTCTAGCTGTGTTACACAAGCCAAGGTTATTCTTTTTTTCTTTTTAAAGAATGACATGGCTATTTATGATCCTAAAGGTAGGATGACTCTGAACTCAACTGTACCTTTCTTTTCTCTGTCTAGTTGAGCTTCTCAAAAATTTAGAGATTATGAGTTAATAATAGTTCTCAGTATAATAGTATGTTTTCTGGATTGCCTAAATCTACATGATATCTAAAGAAATTTCCTGTATTGGGGGGCGGGGAAGAGAATTTAAAAATCCTTTAATTTTTTATAGTCAATTTTCTGGTATTCTTTGTATAGATTACCTGGAATTTATACACGCTCTGAGAGTGTGGCTCACAATTATCAATGGTACCCTTTGCAAGCATTTTCTACCATTTGCACTGACTGCCATTGTGCTTGAGCGGCTAAACTCAGCTTGATCACAAACCAGAAGTCATATTAAGTTATCTAAAATGCTGCCTTTACTTGTACGATACTCAAGGATTAACTTCAAATATCCTATTTAAGCCATCACATAAGATCAGTTATCTGGTAGGTAGGAAAGACATTGGATTCTCTGGTCCTGTGTTTATGAAAACATGTTCTATTTGAATTATATTTACATTAATGCTATTCAGGATTACTAGTGGACTTTTCTTTTCCAGAAAGCATTTTGTGTAGTTGAGCTTTTAGCTTTACAGGTAGTTCTCGACATACAACCATAATTGGGACTGGAATTTCCGTTGCTAAGTGATGCAGTTGTAAAGCGAGATGTCATGTGATTGCATCCCTTAGCAACTGCAATCCCAGCAATTCCTCTTGTCATCGTTAAGTGAATTTCACTGATTTATGGCGAGGACCCACCCCAATCCAAGCTGCACTATCTTCGGAAACCTGCCCTGTCTTTCCCAAGGCTCTTCAAATACAGCGCAGGTTTCGAAGACAGCATTCTAAAGACTCAGGGAGTCATGTGGAGGATACTTTAGCTGGAGAAGCTGGGTCCGAAAAAGAGACAGCAAAGGCAGCGAGGTGCTTCTGCTTCGGCTGCAGTGGTTGGGTGAAAAAGGTGAAAGGTCAGTGTGGGGAACTGGGAGAGAAGGCAGCTGGGCGAACAAATGCTTCCTGGGGTGGTTGGGCTGGGGCGGCTGCAGCTTTGTGCCGTGTTGTGGCTTGGGCTTCTTGCAGCCCCAGAGCCGTGAGATTCTGGGGCTGCTTGCCGCCCCTCAAGGCAGGATGCAGGGTGACCAAAAAGGAATAGATGGGGTGGAGATAGGCAGGTGGGGGGAGTTGAAGCCCCCCCCCGGTCGTAAGTGCAGGTGGGCTGCCAAATGCCTGAATTTTGATCACATGACTGCGGGGTTGCTGCAACGGGTGTAACTTCGGGCATGGGTCATAAGTCCCTTTGTTCAGCACCATTGTAATTTTAAACGGTTGCTGAACGAATGGTCATAAGGCAAGGACTACCTGTATTTACTGGAACACTTGTGATATCCTTCAGTGGGAAAGAAGAGGACCATTTCTGTAGCAATGCTTGAATTTTGAAATATCCTCCAGTTGGAGGAACAATTGCTGTTGGGACACATCAGGGAATTATTAATAGCAGTTGGAGATGCAATTCAGATGTTGGAACATTAACTTACACAATTTGGACTTGCCTTATTATATTTTCATTTTGTGCTGAAGTTAACCAGATTGTTAATATAACTTGTTATGCATATTAGTGCATATGTCCTTCTTGGGTATATCCCTAGCATATGGAATTATCAAAATACCAAAAGTTAATTTTTTCACTGTGGAGATTGGCTGAAAATATGATTATACAATATGGAAGGAGAAATTTAGCTTTACTTGAGGGGATTTTTATTTTTAGCTCTTGGGCATTTTTTAAATTTTCCAGTCTAATTACCCCTCTGGTGGTCTCCCAGGCAATAATCAGATCTGATGCTGCTTAGTTTCTGAGTCTAATCAAGATTGGCCGATTAGTTCCAGCAGCTGTGACGTATGTATGTGTGAAAAATAAATTGATGTTAACTAACCTTGCGGACATTGAACAATCCTTATTTCATTCTTGTCTTTTGCAAGAATAACTGATTTGCTGGGTGGAATAAAATACATTAAATAAAAATCATTGGTATTGTATATTATAGCCCTGCAAAAGGAAAATGGTTAATGCCTATCTGTACCCAAATTCTTCTAAGCACTGTGAATTAAGTTGCTAACCATTTCTCTTTAATTCCTAACTGTGTATCTTTGTGCTCCTAGATGTCAAGAAAGATTGGTCTGACCATGCCTTATGGTGGGACAAGAAGAAAACCTGGCTCCTTAAAACACACTGGACTTTAGATAAGTATGGAATACAGGCTGATGCAAAGTTGCAATTCACTCCTCAACACAAATTGCTCCGACTCCAGCTTCCCAACATGAAGTATGTAAAAGTGAAAGTGAACTTTTCTGACAGAGTCTTTAAAGCAGTATCTGACATCTGCAAAACTTTCAGTGAGTATCTATGATTTATGGAACCAATTATTATCTTTTTCAAGTGACAAGCAGCCAGCTTTAATAGTTTTGTGTTCATTACCTCTTTTTTGGGGGGAGGGTCTTCTGGAAAGTATAAATTAGTCTCTCTTCTTTCCAGGGCACTCTTAAAAGGATAAAAGAATAGCTTTCAGTATGCAAAATACCTACTACCAAATTACGGGAGTATATAGTACTGCCACCTTTGGGTGCTCAAGTTTATCCTTGGATTTTACTTCCTGACATGACTGTTTTTCTGAATTCACTCATCAAGCTAAGCCATAATAAGTTTGCTTCATTTTAGCTTAGTATGTTGTGTGAATCCAGCACTGTGTTTTTAAAATCAAGGCTTGTATTTATGTTAAGTGTGGAAGCAGCCATTGTGACTTGTTCAATAAACTGTAGAAACAGTGACTTTTTACAATCTGTGAATCCAGCTTTTTCCTATTTCTTTTCCTTTCATGGAATCAGGGGTTTTATTAACTTAACTTTTAAGTTAATAAGGGGTTGAATTATAGAAAAAATATTGATTTCTTAATAATAATGATGATAATAATAATAACAATCTTCTGGATTTGTATCAAGAAGGTGTATTTTTAGAATAAAGAAATGTCCTTATTTACATTCTAGAAAAACTGAGCATTAGTTGTTATTCTAAAAAGATCCTATAGGTAGTCCTTGAGTTACAACCATTCATTCAACGACTGTTCAGAGTTATAATGGTGCTGAAAAAGGAGACTTATGACTGGTCCTCAAAGTTGCGGCTGTCCTAGTACCCCCATGGTCATGTGATCACAATCTGGATGCTTGACAACCCTTTCACATTTATGACCAGTTGCCAAGTGCCCCACATTCACAGGATTGCCATTTGCAACCCTCCCTGCTGGCTTCCCCCAAGCAAAGTCAATGGGAAGCCAGCAAGGAAGGTTGCAAGGTGGGGTTAGCGTCCCCCACAACCCCCTGGTCTTTCTTCGCTCATATGCCCCTTCGCTCATATGCCCCCTTCACTTGCACATACCCCGTGCCCTCTTTCCTCAGCCTCCCTGCTCCTGCACACATGCACAAACACATATCCCGCACCCTCTTTCCATGGCCTCCCTGTGATCATACGCACCCTGTGCCCTCTTTCCTCAGCCTCCCTGCGATCACACGCACCCTGCATTCTCTTTTCACAGCCTCCCTGCAACTGCATGCACCCTGTGCCCTCATTCCCTAGCTTTTCTGACTCACACTACACAGAGCACCCCCTCCCCCAACTTGCTCATGGACTGTGCCACGCCTCCCAGGGCCTCCCCAATCCTCCTGTGGCACCCCGCGCTCCTTACCTGGGACTCCCTCCACTTCCTGCATAACGACCTATGCATCTTGGGTTACTACGAAGGGACTGCCTGGATTGCCGTCGCTAAGCGATATGGTCATGTGATGTTGTGCTTTATGACCACATTGCTTAGTGACAGCAATCCCAGTCCCAATTGCAGTCGTAACTCAAGGACTACCTGTAATTGAAAAGGTTTTTTTTCAAGCTGATCAGAATTGGCTGGTTTATTATCTAAGTTAAAATATGAACATTTTGAATCCAAGTCTTCAGTTGCTTTTGTATTCAGTTTGTTGATTTAATTTGTCTGTTTTATTGGATGCTATGTTTGCTTTTTTATAGTTAGATGGAACCTTTCTTCATAGATGTAATATAGAATGGGGGATTGCATTTGGGGAAGGGGTTAAAATGGCACCTATTGTGTGCAGCTGCAATTATTTTTTTTTTAAATCACATTTGGACATACCTCAGTGTTTTCTGTTTTGCTTTTTTTTAGTTTAGCCCTTGTTAATACAGAACCTATACCAATTAAATAAAATAAACTATGGAACTTTTCTTTCACCAAGACCTATTTTGGCTCAGAAGAGTTTTAGGTTTCATAGTGCCATTGAATTACATTGACTAATATATTCAATCATCCTCAATGCTTGGTATCTCAAAGCATTAAAAATGGTTAACATTAATCAAACAGGTTTTTTAATATGTGATGAAGAATCTACCTAATTAACCTACTTTAATGTGCAGAAAAATAAATATACTATCAGCAGCCTTTTAGTTGTCCATGGATTCTTGTTAAAACTGAAAAATTAAGTTTAATTTTCTTTAAAAATGCTGTAGAACTCATAGTTCCTTATTTTTCCCTCACTTGTCTGTGTCAAGAGGCAAATGAGCTATTTTAAGTGAATGACTATAGCAGTGTTTCTCAACCTCAGCAACTTTAAGATGTGTGGACTTCAATTCCCAGAATTCCCCCGCTCGCATTCTGGGGGGTTGAATCCACACAACTTTAAAGTTATAAAGGTTGGAAAAACCTGGGA